AGGTTGCAAACTAAGCTGAGGAACACTCATCAGTCTCATTTTAATGATGGAAGAAGAATTTTCTATGCAACCAGGAGCTGACAGAGCAGATTCAGTGCCCCAACCCTTTTACTCCAGGCCAAGAGCACTTAAAAACAAAGTATTTTCTCCAAATAGATACGGAACACTTGCAAAGGGAGCAGAGAACAGATAGGTATTTAGTATCCTGCAGAGTTTAAACTGTCTAAGTGAACGAATGTGGAAATGATCTGGTGCTTTTACCAGTGGGTATTCAGATGGCTACCATGCCTCACCCTCTCTCAGAATCCCTTGGTTACCAAAAAACCTGCAGTAAGTGTTGGTCTCAAGAGTCCTTTACCCCTTCATAGCTGCCTTTGGAAAGGTGAACTTTGTGCACCCAGTGCCATTATGCCCAACTGCTATTCATGGTTGCCATTGCTGTGTCCCTAGTCAAACAAAACGTTAGTGAACAAAGGAAAGAGATTTGTAGGGTGTAGTAGGAGTGGGATGGAAATAAAAGTGGATGAGGGGAGAGTGGCCAGAATACAAAGTTTATATATATGAAACTGTAACAGAACAAAATTTACTAACAAAACAAGGAAATAGATACATGTTTTTGGTTGCATCTACAGTTAATTTTTTTCTCTGTTTCTCAAGTTCCAGGGCATAGTCTGCTAATTTTATTTTAAGTGACTCATCCACTTTCTTATTCTTTCAAATGAAAATATAAAATCAGCCTTGCAAGTGTATCCTCAGAGATGGGCATTGGCTCTGTGACTTCATTAGTGAACGGTGACGACACTGTGCAGGAGCCCCCACCTTTCCAGGATTCCCTCCATAAAGAGCAGGGTGTTCTCACTGGGCAGTGGCAACCTCCTCTTCCTGGAACTCCAGTAAACATGAGAAACAACTCAACATTTCAGCCCCTATGAAAGTATTGGTACAGCAAGACAGAACAGTCTTTAGAAGATCTTCTAGATCTTCCTGGCCTCTCTCTGAGCATGCAGGAAAGTCCACTTCTTTTTCCTCCGCACAACATCAAATGATCAGCCTCCTCCTTCAGTAGACTAACAGAAGATCCTAAACAAAATCTGGGTAACTTGTGTAAATAACTTTGGTCTTGAGGGAGGTGTATGCATTATGAACAGACAAAAACAGTATTTTTAATGATGTATCGTTTAAGTACAATTAAACTTAAGAAACTTATTTAAAAAACAGTGTGTTCCACACTAAGAGAATGCATTGTAATAAACCTGTACATTATCTCAGCCCTCTGCTCTCACAACCTTGACTGGCCTCTTTACATTGCAATCTCAGGAAACACGGAAGGCAAAGAAAGAAATTCAGGATAAATTGTATTGAGCCCCATAGTTTTGTTTTTTCCTGTAAGGGTGATAATCTAAAGTTCTTTTGTATCGAGGACTTGTAAACAATTTTCTTTTTTTTCCACTGTTTTGTTTTACAGAAGGAGGATAAATCTTGTACTTGCTTCCATGTTGCAGAAGGTAACTAACTGAAGCCTTCCTAGCTTTGGTTTGAACACTTTATTCTGTCTCAACACTGCCCTCTCTGCAAAGGTGCTTCCCAAAATAACTAGAGCACAGGGGAAATCAATGAACTCTATATTAGCTAGTTTTTCTATGTCCGTGATAAAACACCACGACCAAAGCAATTTATCGAAGGCTGACTTTGGGTTCGTGATTCTAGAGGATGAGTCCCATCATCCCTCACTGTCACAGTGGGGAAGCACAGCAGCTGGGACTTACAGCTCACATCTCAAACAGAAAGCAAAGAAAAAGTGAAATCAAAAGGACCTCAATCCTGCCCTCAGTAAGTAACTCAACCAGCAAGGCCACAACCCCCTAAGTTTATCCAATGAGTCCCTATGACACAGGGCAACAACGGGGTATCCAAAAGGAGTCCGAGTGAGGATCCAGTATCGATTGTGTAGCAGAAACTAGAGGCCTTGAATCAAACCCATGACTCATTGCAACGAACACTTGCAAGTCAAGATGTATGGACTGAAGGGTTCACTGTCACTGTGTCACACTGTAGCTCCCACAATGAGGTTTTTCTTTTCTTTTTTCTTTTATTTTCTTTTATTTTTTTATTAAAGATTTCTGCCTCCTTGCCTCCTCCCCTCCACCGCCTCCCATATCCCTCCCCCTCCCCCAATCAAGTCCCCCTCCCTCATCAGCCTGAAGACCAGTCTATGTTAGAACCCCAAAGAAGTAGGTTTTTCTTTTTATTTAACTTTTCATTGCTTCTTTGTAGATTTCACATCATGTATCTCAATACTATTCTTCTCCCCATCATTTTGCATCTGCCCTCTGCCTTTGCAACCTCCACCACCAAGGTAAAACAAAAGAAAACTAAAAGAAATAAAAAAGACGGATGCTCCAAAAATACAGAAGAACGTTGGATGATTTTCCAGACGACAAGATGTCTTTATCAATTCTAGCATTTTGGAAGTTGCTTACAATGTACTTGCTGTTGACTTAGGTAATAGTATATCCTTCTGAGGTCTTTGATGGAGTTAAAGAATAGGCAGTTATAATTATAGTTTTCCTTAGTTTTAATAAAAATAAAGTAGATATAAATACTGTAACTGTAATTCTTGCTTAATACCTGCTTTGTTCTATGTAATTTTACTAAGTTAAAGTTAAAACCTTCCTTTTCGTTTAAACAGAGAAGGGGAAATGGTGTGGGAAGTCCTTCTGTATATGTGTTGCTTTTCCTGGTTAATAAAGAACTGATTTTGGCCAATGGCTTAACAGAATATAGCCAGGCTGGAAGATGCCACAGAGCAGCCAGAGGGGAAAAGATGCAAGCTGACAGATGGAACCTTGCTGGTAGGCCACAAGCCTTATGGTAAAATATAAAATAAAAGAAATGGGTTAAATTAAGGCGTAAAAGCTAGCCAATAAGAATATAGAGCTAATAGGCCAAGCAGTGATTTCATTAATACAGTTTCTGTGCGGTTATTTCAGGGCTGAGCAACAAGGAACAAACAAGCAGCCTCCCTACAACAAGGAGAATCTACAATAGCTATGCTAAACAGACTTCAGACAGTCATAAAAGGATAGTGGTCAGAACTTTCTTGTAAGACAAAATTCTAAGTGTTAAAAACACTAAAGTTTCCAAACAGTAATTAAGTGAATTATGAAAAGAGGAAAACCATCTTACATAGGTTTCAGTATATACTGGCAATATAATAAGGGGCACAGATGTTTATTTATTATATCTGCATCCACTGATATAATCTTTTAAAAGGTATTTAGTTATTCAAAACATCATTGCCCAGCATCCACCAAATCTATGAACTGCTGGAGCATGGAAAGGAAAAACCTTCCAGATCCAAATCTGCAGAATATCCTCAACACAGTACAACAACAGGATATCCAAGAAGAGCCACAGAGAGAGCCATTGCTACCGTATAGCAGAAGCCTCGACCCAGACAAATGACTCATAGAAATAAACACTTACATGTCAAAATAAACGGACTAAAGGGTAAACCCTATACTCAATGGGCCACACTACACCTTTCATGATGAGATTCTTCTCCTTTTTTCTCTTTTTTTTTGGGGGGGGAAGGTGTTGGTTTGGGTTTTAAATTAAAAAATTAATTTTTATTTTCATTAATTTATTTTTTTAAAAGATCTTTTCACATTTTATATACCTATCTCAGTTCCCACTCCCACCCCTCCTCCTGCTCCCCCATCTCTCCCCCCCACCTACTCCTCAAAGAGGGTAAGGCATCCCATGGGGAGTCAACAAGTCTGACATATCACTTTGAGGCAGGACCAAGGCCCTTCCCCCTATATTTAGGCTGAGCAAGGTATCCCCCTAAAAGAAATTGGTTAAGTTTCAATTTTTTTCTTTTAAATTTTGTTTTATTTTGTTTTGGGGGGAGGTTGTGTGGACAGAGGGTGGAAGCGAGGGAATGGGGAGATAAGTGGGTTCAGGAGGCATGTGAAGTCCACAGGAAATGAATAAAAGTTGAAAAAAATCACTGGCTTATATATTTCCAGAAGTAGATGTCTCTGAGAACTGTGAACTATGGAAGAAATCTAACCATGTTTTTTTTTTCTTTCTTTTTAAAAGACACATCATAAAATTGCTAATGAAATCCTAACAGTCTCCGTCATATTGACGTGGGGCAGCATCCAGAGGGAGCATGTTTGACTTCAGAAAGGTGAAGGTGTACGATGGAGACCATTCGCCTGTGCTGCACGCAGACTTTCTACGGTCCTTTGGTGGCATTGCTCCGGAACTACAGGGTCCTAATACAATCCTGTACAAAAATATAGCTCATAATACGCAAAATGAGACAGGACTTACTACCGTGAACTACAAGGATCAATCATCATCAGTTTTAATTGTGTTTTATTATGAAAGACTTAAGTGTATGCAGCTACTTTCCTCTGTTGGAAAAACTGGACATTTAAAATATCATAGCAAATTATCAAAATTGAAAACTTTTGTCTGCTGTGGAATAATCTCTTTGTGCCCCGTAAATATGTGTCACTCTGACTGGTTTAATAAAAAGCTGAATAGCCAATAGCTAGGCAGGATTTGGGGAGCAAAAAGGATGCTGGGAAGAAGAAAGAAGACAAGGAACTGTAGAGCTAGCTAGTGGGGCAGAAAAAAACGAAAAAAAGAAACTAGAAAAGAGATTAATGTAGTGAAAAAAAGAGAGATGTAGTGAAAGACAGATGATTTCTTATTTCTCATTAAAACTCAAAGAGTTTTAGTTGTTTACTTACCAATTATGAAAGTAAGCATATTGATTACTAAAGGGAAATTCAAAACACTTAAGGAACAACTTCTTCCTTGAAGTACTAGAGTGGGAAATTAGCATAAACAATGACACACACACAAGTTCTGCTCATTGGCCCAAATTTTGAAGCATTGTATATAAAAGGCAAAACACGAAAGAAAACAATAGATTTTTGGGAAACTCACCTTTGAGTAAAACTCCTCTTTCAACATCCAACACCATGACCAACTCCTGCTGTTCCCCTTGCTGCCAGCCCAGCTGCTGTAGGACCTGCTTCCAGTCAAGCTGTGTGAGCAGCTGTTGCAGCACACCCTGCTGCCAGCCTTGCTGCTGTGTGTCCAGCTGCTGTAAGCCCTGCTGCCAGCCCTGCTGCCCATCCAGCTGTTGCCAGCCCTGCTGCAAGCCCTGCTGCAAGCTGTGCTGCCCATCCAGCTGTTGCCAGCCCTGCTGCAAGCCCTGCTGCTGTGTGTCCAGCTGCTGTAAGCCCTGCTGCCAGCCCTGCTGCAAGCCGTGCTGCCCATCCAGCTGTTGCCAGCCCTGCTGCCAGCCCTGCTGCAAGCCCTGCTGCCCATCCAGCTGTTGCCAGCCCTGCTGCAAGCCCTGCTGCTGCACACCCTGCTGCCAGCCTTGCTGCTGTGTGTCCAGCTGCTGTAAGCCCTGCTGCCAGCCCTGCTGCAAGCCCTGCTGCCCATCCAGCTGTTGCCAGCCCTGCTGCAAGCCCTGCTGCCCATCCAGCTGTTGCCAGCCCTGCTGCAAGCCCTGCTGCTGTGTGTCCAGCTGCTGTAAGCCCTGCTGCCAGCCCTGCTGCAAGCCCTGCTGCCCATCCAGCTGTTGCCAGTCCTGCTGCAAGCCCTGCTGCCAGCCCTGCTGCAAGCCTTGCTGCCAGCCCTGCTGCCCATCCAGCTGTTGTCAGCCATGCTGCAAGCCCTGCTGCTGTGTGTCCAGCTGCTGCCAGCCCTGTTGCCAACCTTGCTGCAAGCCCAGCTGCTGCCAGCCCTGCTGCACACCCTGCTGCAAGCCCTGTTGCTGTGTGTCCAGCTGCTGCCAGTCCTGTTGCCAACCTTGCTGCAAGCCCAGCTGCTGCCAGCCCTGCTGTAAACCCTGCTGCCAGCCCTGCTGCAAGCCCTGCTGCAAGCCCTGTTGCCAGCCCTGCTGCTGTAAACCCTGCTGCTGTAAGCCCTGCTGCTGCAAGCCCAGCTGCTGCCTCAAGCCCTGCTGCCAGCCCTTCTGCCTTGACCTGTGCTGCCAGCCAGCTTGCTCTGGACCTGTGACAGTCACCAGGACTTGCTACCAGCCCACATGTGTCTGTGTGCCTGGCTGCCTGTCTCAAGGCTGCGGGTCTAGCTGCTGCGAGCCCTGCAGTTGTTGAACAACATACATTAGGCTCACTACATAACATAGCCTTCTACTATCAAACCTGCCTGATAACCACACTACACCAAACTCTGGAAAGACGCCTTATTGCTGCCTTACCACCAATATCCCATTAGTAGATTTGTGTCGTTTCTCAGTAAACACAACTGTATCTACTATGTTCATCCTTATTCTTCTGGTTCTTTGTCAAAGCGACCTGTTATTGACCTGGATTCCATCTCAACCCTGGGAAATTTGCTCATTTCATTTTCAACCTACAGAAGGTTTGTAAAACCAAAAGTAAGAAAGCACTCCGATTTTTCCTGGTGTTAGTCATCCTTGCTTTTCCCTGTATTTATAATTATTCTAACTCATCTTGTAACTCATCCATAAAAACTTTGAGTTCTCTGGCTAATTGGAAGGCCATTCTCTTTGGTTTACTAATAAAGTCTTCATGCAATTATCTCCTAAAGTGATGTTGTTTTGTGTGTGTTTGTTTGCTAGTCACATCATGTTGTCTCATCTGAGTCATGTCATAGTCTCAGACTTGGTCAGAGACGGTGCGTGGGATGTGAGCTTAGCTACAGGTCATGTAGCTAAGGAGAGAAAACATCCCTACAGAGACCTGGACTTGCCCGTTGCAGCTCTGGTGTGGTAATGGGAACAACTTAGTGAAATAGAGGCACTGGGACTGAGCAATGGGAAGATGGGCATCTCATGATGCTTTCTATTTACCAGTCACCTTGGTAACCAGTAACCACAGAGTGGAAGAGATGATTTTAGGAGCCTAGAAAGCCATGTAAACCGTGTATTGCCTTGCCTCAAAAAGCCACTGGAGATGACTTTTAAATGTTTTTTTTTTTCTCAATCACAGTATACTTGCTACTGTCTTGGGATTTTGAAAGCTTTTTATCATCTGTTGTGGGGGAGGTGGGGAGCGAGTGTCAGAGGACAAATTGTGAGAGTCGTTTCTCTCCTTCCACCATGTGGATCCTAGGGATCAAACTCAGGCTTGGAGGCAGGTGCCTTGACCTGCAGATCCATCTCAGGATTTTGATGTGGGAGGACCATTTAGAAATTGTTGGTTTTGTAGAAATGGTATACTTTATGCCCTTATTATTCTGATTACCAGTATAAATGGCTGCATGGGGGATGGATTGATTTGTGATAACACTGGTAACAGGAAAGTAAATTTTTAATATTCTGCATGGAAAGGTGCAGTAACCGATTGATTTTCAGAGAATGATCTGTGAGTTGAGACAGAAAGTACTTGGAGTAAATAATATCTAGTACACACAATCCTCAAAAATATAGCCCAGGTGTGCCGAAGACATAAAAACCTTGAAACTCTTGTAAGAACTATAAATAAACATCTCTTGGATCTTGAGGAAGGACACGTCTTTATCACCAGAAAAAAAAGAGCCAAATTTGGCTGTCACCATGTAGAGCTTGCAATCATCAAACACAGCAACAGAAAAATGAAAACCAAGTTATAAACTTGGTGGTGTTTGAGAAACACAGAAATAAACACGCATGGCTGAACTCATAAAGAAGTAGTCGATCTGAACAGAATTCAGAAAAGTGCAAATGAAGATTAACATGTGGCTTCTTCTTAAGCCGATATTAATGTATTAAAACAATCTTATTTCACATTTGGAAGAAGAGAATTTTAAAACTACTGAGTCAATAATTGGTAAAAGTAAAGTAAACATCTCTGTTCCTTCTCAAGTCTGGGCTCGAAAGGGATGCAGATGGTTCTTGAAGTACTGAGGAGAACCAAAGAAGCCTTGAGTGAGTGCAGAAAGGATGGGTGAAGTCCTGGGTGGATATGCATTGTTGACATGGATACAGTGATGTCAAGGACTCAATGCCCCAGACCCACAAGAAACTGGCAAAACCCTCCTTGCCACCCCATCCAGGGTGCAGACTCTCTCTGTGCTGTACATAATAAACACATGAGGCTCTGAGCTGTGTATTTGGTACCCTCTGACAGAGCAAGCACAGGCCACTGGGTCCCATCTTCACTGTATGTGTGTCTGTTTTTCTTCATTCCCTCACACCCCAGCCAGGTCGAGTCCCAAGCCACCTGGAATATGGTACAGAATGTTTTGGGTCCTTGTTGTTTGGCCCTATTGAGCATCTTGGGCAGATTTTAACACATAATATTCAATACATGTAGTCAGTCGTCCATCAGTGTCTTCACAATCAGTAGTCTCAATCCACCCAAGACCAAAATACTCAAAAAACAAATGTAACTAAATTGAATACATTATTCTATGAACAACACAGTGGGACAATTACAGAAGTCACATTTACATTCTATTAGCTACTAGGGCTGTTGAGGTAAACTCAGTAGTAGAGAACTTGCCTAACATGTGTGAGACCCTTGTTTAATGCCCAGCAATGCAAAAACAAGCAAGCATCCTTTTGGCCCAATTATTATAAGTATCACAGAGATAACTCATGTAACATTTGTGGAAGAGTATGTATGCATTAAGTTTAAATATGTTGGTAATTTGTATGAAAAATTGAGTGTATGAAGATTTTTATATTAGGAAGTCATCCTTAAAACAATTCCCCGTGGATATTAAGAGATTAACATGTTTTGAAATGAATGAATGAATGATATTTTGTGAGTTATACAAAAAGTATCAACCTTCTACTATCCAAAGTACACTATATTTGAACTAAAAATTGTGAAATGAATCAAGGTTTAAAATTGAACACTATTGGCCTGGCAGAACAAGGGCAACACCAGCTGACATGCCAACATGGATGGGAGAAATATCACAAGGCCACATCCCCTAAATCAAGAACTATGAGCCATAAATTTCTTCACAATTAAGAAACCAACAGACTTAAACTACCATATAAAATGTTACATGTAAATTCTATAACAATACTGTGCTAGGTACAAGATTTTTAAATTTTTTTCCTTTAATAAAAAAGCTTTACACAAACAAGCCATTAGCTTATTTCAAGGAAGAAAACCAAAAATTAGTCTAAGGTCTTTGTTTTAAAACAGCTTAAGCTATATGATATATATATTCAAAAATAAAACAAGAAACGCACTACATCTTTTTGTTACCCTCTTCTGGAGCTTTTGGATCCACTCAGTTCACATTCTAGAATACCTGTATTAGCAGTCTTCACATAGCACCAGTTAAGTGAGTACTGTGCAAACACAGTAATAATTGCTGGTATGCATATAAAAATGCATCAAAAATTGCTATATGTAACAATGAGATCACCCATCCCAACCCGCCCCACTGAAAACTACGTAACCTCTTACAGGTGTTAGTGTTCCAACTCTTAGTGTAACTTGCTATTGTAGTGGGCTGCTTGGTCCCTTTCAGTCTGTTTGCTTATTGAGGGTTCAGTTGTTCCTACTTTAAGAGGCAGTTTTCTACCAGCATCTCAATGTGTCGGCCCTGGCGTCTCGCAGACACATCAGCATCAGTTCTCCTGTGGTTTGGAAATTCAGGCTCAGCATGAGCTCGGCAGGTAGCTCTATTACCTGCTGTTTGTTTTCTTTCTCATTCTTGTTCCTTCTTTCCTCCTTTTTTTTCTCCTTTTTTCTTTTTTAGTTGATGTTTAAGAGGGAAAGTACCAGTGTTCAGAGTTGAACTATAATAGTTTGCATATTCAACATTTGAAGTATATTCTATTTTGTTGTACTCTTGTTTCAAAGTGTATTCAAGTAGGTTTTCTGAAATATAGAAGTGAAATATAAAAAAATAAAAAGAACTATGAACCATTAGCAGTTGCTGAGAGGAGAAACATTCTTCACCAGGGACAAGCCCCCTAACAGGTTACCCAGTTTCAGTGGCCAGTCCTAAACACATATAAAAACAAGCAACAGTCAATGGATTAAGCTTGTCCCATTTACATATTTGCATATATATCATATGCTATGTATGATATATGTCAAAGAGGCTATAATTTTGAGAGTGAGAAGGCATGGGAGAGGTTTGGAGACATAAGACAGGAGAAGATAGAGGGGATGAGTGATATAATTACATTTTTATTAAAAATGTATGAAATAAATTAATATTATATGCAAATTTTTAAAGATTAAGATGGAGGTGCTGTTAATAAAGGACAGCTTTGCCCAAGGCCGAGACATACTCCTTTCAGTTCTCCTCTCCCATCATTGTCGCTACCCTCATTTCTTATCTTCTCTAATGGAGGAAGTTAAACTCTAAAGGAGCAAATGATACTACAATGACGCAATCAACAACCATTATAAATCTATAAAAATCTAAAAATCTTTATCAGTTAATTGGAGACCTGACAGAACAAATAAAGAATTTTGAGGAAATAGCTGAGATAAAAAGAATATTAAAAGAGTTTGGTTGATTTTTGCAGCTTCTTTTCTCTCCCAGGTGTGGTGGTTTAAATGAAAACGAGGTAGGGCAGTGGTGGCGCACGCCTTTAATCCCAGCACTCGGGAGGCAGAGGTAGGCGGATCTCTGTGAGTTCGAGACCAGCCTGGTCTACAAGAGCTAGTTCCAGGACAGGCTACAAAGCTACAGAGAAACCCTGTCTCGAAAAACCAATAAACAAACAAACAAACAAATAAATAAATAAATAAATAAATAAATATGAGAGTGACACTAGTGGGAGGTGTGGCCTTATTGGAGTAGGTGTGGTCTTGTTTGAGAAAGTGTGTCACTGTGGAGGTGGGCTTTGAGGTTTTATATGCTCAAGCCAGGCCAAGTGCTTTAGTTCATTTCCTGGTGTTGGACTCTCAGCTCCAGCACCATGTCTGTTGCATGCTGCCTCACTTCCTGCCATGATGATAATGAACTGAACCTCTGAACTATAAGCAAGCCCCCTCCATTAAATCTTTTTCTTTATAAGAGTTATGTGGTCATGATCTCTTCACAGCAATAGAAAACCTAACTAAGACACTGGGCTTTGGTTGGTCTGAATTAGCATAGTAAGAGAAAGAGAGATTTTCATGAGATCACTTGATTGGCAATCAATTCCAGGCTTATCATATTTATCATTACACTTAAACCAATTCCCCATTAATAAACACTGATTTGTGTTTATCATGGAACTATTCACAACAGCTGAGTCATGGAATCAGCCTCAGTGTTGATCAAATGAAGGGAAGAATAAAAGCATCTGTGTGCGTGTGTTCATACCTATGTGTCTGCCTGTGTGCATACCTGCATGTGTGCATATTATTTAGTCTTAAGGAAGAATGATGCATCTTGTTTGTGAGATAAGCCATTCCCAGGGATTAATGCTGTATCTTTCCTCACATATGTGCAATCTGGATTTCTTTACAAGACACGAAAGTGGAGAGGCACCACGTGGAAAGTGAACGGGACCAAGAGGAGAGAAGAAATGAGAGAAGAAAGCATAACAGTAGGTGCCAGATAAGATCAAAGTACACAGTGCACATATATTAAAATGTCTAATGAAATCCATCGTTTTGTACAATTGATACAGGTTAGTTGATTTTTCAGTTAAATGACAGTACAACAACACTTATTACATGTAACACAGGATAGTATCAGCATGATTTTAGAACAACTATCAGTATACATAGGAAACATAAAAGACTATAAACTCTATATCCTAGGGGAAAAGACTAGGTGTACATCGTTAAGAGGAACAAGGTAAGCCATAGTGTAAGAAATGACACTGGTAAAGCAAATAATAAGGACTGATACCTGGTGTAGGAGGCCGTTTTGCTTATATGTGCTTTCATTGGTTAATGAATAAAGAAACTGCCTTGGCCTTTTGATAGAGCAAAACTTAGGTAGGTGGGGAAAACAGAATTGAATGCTTGGAGGAAGAAGGGTGGAGTTAGAGAAGCCATGGATCCTCTGCCTGAGATGGACACTAGTTAGAATCTTGCCCGTAAGCCACAGCCAGGTGGCGATATACAGATTAATAGAAATGGATTAAATTAAGATGTAAGAATTAGCCAATGAGAAACTAGAGCTTGTAACATGAGCGGTCCTGTTTGTTTGTTGGGGTTTCTGTCTCGCCTTTTACCCCACAACTGTTTAGCTCCAAAGAAAATCACACATAGGTCTCCATAAATTATAAACTGATTGGCCCATTAGTTTTAGCCTCCCACTGGCTAACTGTCACATCTTGATTAACCCGTTTTTCTGATCTATGTTAGGCATTGGCTCAGTACCTTTTTCAGTGGGGCAGATCACATCCTCCTGCTTCGATGGTCTGGTCAGGAGTGGGAGGAATCAACTTCCTCCTTCCAAGAATTCTCCTGTTCTCATTATATCATTTCTACTTCCTGTCTTGTTTTCCCGCCTTTATTTCCTACCTGGCCAATCAGCATTTCTTTATAACATGATTGACAGAATACAGACAATTCTCCCGCACCAAGAGCTAATGGACCAAGCAGTGTTTTAATGAATATAGTTTCTGTATGATTATTTGGGGCGTAAGCTGAACAAGGTATCCCTCCAAAGAGAACGTGCTCCTAGATGCCAGTTCAAGCACTATGAATAAATCCTGGTCCCACTGTCAGTGACCCCACAGATTACCCAAGTCTCACAACTGTCCCCTACATTCAGAGGACCTAGTTTGGTCCTATGCAGGTTCCCCCACTATCGCTCCAGAGTCAGTGAGCTCTCACTAGCTCAGGTTAGCTTTTTTTTGTGGGTATCACCATTGTGGTCTTGACCCCTTTGCTCATATTATCACTCCTCCCTCTCTTGAGCTAGTCTCTGGAAGCTCAGCCCAGTGCTTTATTGTGAATCTCTATATTTGCTTCCATCAGTCACTGGTTGAAGGTTCTTTGATGACAATTAAGGTAGTCATCAATCTGATTACAGGAGAAGGTCAGTTTACCTGTCCTCTCCGCTGTAGCTTAGAGTCTTAGCTGGGGTCATCCTTGTGGATTCCTGGAAATTCTCTAGCGCCATGTTTCTCGCTAGTCCTTTAATGGCTCCCTCAATCAAGGTATCTCTTTCCTTTCTCTAACATGGAAACTTCTTAATAATTATAAAACCCTAGCCCTTAGCTTAGGCTTGTTCCCAACTAGCTCATATAACTCAAATTAACCTACTTCTATTTTTCTGTTCTGCCACTTGACTTTTACCTTTCCTCGGAGAAAGGAGGTCACTATCAGAGGTTTGCTTCTCTGCCACTTCTCTGATCAATCAGGTTTTAACCTCAGTATCTGATTCCCAAGTTTTACTTAATAATAGAACAATATAAGTAATTGCTTCATGAGTTCATGAGTGTTCATAGCCATATCAAGTTCAGAAGTTTACATTTCTACAGCCCTTCTTCCTCATTTTCCAGCTACTGTTTACCCACTCTTCTGCTATATTCCTTAAGCCTTAGTGAAGTTTAGGGGGGTGTTAAAAATACGTTCTCAGGGTCAATATGGTTACTTTTAAAAGAACATTTGAAGCAACCTATGAGGGTTGACCAAAAACATAATTTATATTCCATAAACTTCACTCTAAAAATATGTAAAAAATATTCACTAGAAGATGTGGACAAACACATCCATGAGAACATGATATACACTAGTTTAAATGATGAAAATATGTCCATCAGAGGTGACATACATTGGTACAATTTGGTCCCATACTGCAATGATATCAACAAAATGATATCACAGTAGGCAATGAAGTCTATAAATCTCAGAAACAGATTTTAGCAAAAGAAAATAAATAATATATGTGAAATAACTTCACTTTTTAATAAAGATTAAAAACTGACAAACTATGACTAGGTAAAGGGACAGGGATAATACCATAATGACAGCCACCAGGAATGCCACTATTTCCTGACACAAATGCTGAACAAATTGTCTTTATCATATTCAGTGAAGCTATATACAAAAGTACTTGGGCTTTTCCAATAGTATCATGTGTTTTCTTTTAAAGAAAGGTATATGGTTTGATCTCATAGAGTTTAATTTCCTCATTGTATAAAGACAATGTGCTGGTTTGGGAATCTGACCTGAGTTTATTGGTCCTGCTGCTAAGAAAGGATGAAGATCTAATTTGATGGATGCTTTCTACGCCCTTATGTCATCTTGCTGCCTCTATTGACCCACATTTGTATTTGTTTGTGTTTGAAAGAGGCTGTGGCAACCCCACCTCTGTCCATGTATCCTGTGATAACGCGGATGAAACACAGAAAGAGCCTGTTGCCTGGTGTAGGCTTTTCTGAACAAAAGCGTTGGAGCCAGACGTGGATTCAGTTTGTCACTGTGAACGTATCATTATCATAGCCTTTCCCCAATCTCCATACAGCCAAAGGTACAGGATGAAGGAAACCTATGACCCTGTGGCCGTGACATTTGTCACATGACTCGGGCAGGGATGACACCGATCATTTTCTACAGTCACCACCCCCCACAATTAGTTATGTAAAGAGAAGTGTCAAAGATTTGTAATATATTGTTCAACTTCCTCCTTAGAGAATTTCCCCATGAGCCATTGCAAACAAACAACAACAGGGAAAAGTCCTGCTATGTCCAGGGTATAAAAGCCCCAAGACTGAAACAGCTGTCAGAATCTCAGGAACCCCTGTGAACAGAACCTCTCCCTCCACATCCAACACCATGACCAACTCCTGCTGCTCTCCTTGCTGCCAGCCTTCCTGCTGCAGGACCACCTGCTGCAGAACCACCTGCTGGAGACCAAGCTGTGTGAGCAGCTGCTGCCAGCCCTGTTGCCAGCCCAGCTGCTGTGGCTCCAGCTGTTGCCAGCCTTGCTGCCAGCCCAGCTGCTGTAGGACCTGCTTCCAGCCAAGCTGTGTGAGCAGCTGCTGCAGCACACCCTGCTGCCAGCCCTGCTGCTGTGTGTCCAGCTGCTGCCAGCCCTGCTGCCAGCCCAGCTGCTGTCAGCCCAGCTGCTGCCAGCCCAGTTGCTGTGAGCCCAGCTGCTGTCAGCCCAGGTGCTGTATTTCCAGCTGCTGCCAGCCCTGCTGCAAGCCCTGTTGCCAGCCCAGCTGCTGTCTCAAGCCCTGCTGCCAGCCCTTCTGCCTTGACCTGTGCTGCCAGCCAGCTTGCTCTGGACCTGTGACCGTCACCAGGACTTGCTACCAGCCCACATGTGTCTGTGTGCCTGGCTGTCTGTCCCAGGGCTGTGGGTCTAGCTGCTGCGAGCCCTGTATCTGCTGATCAACTTACCACAGACCCACTAACAACAGACCTGCAAGATAATGACAGTGCATCAGTTTAACACCATTCTCTGCCAATAATATGCACTTAAAAGTAATATTCATCTTATCAAACTCCCACTCATTTTCTTGTTAAGAAATCTCTGCCTTGATCACTGGCCACAATCCAACCCACTTTGATAACCATTTTTATTTCTCTGACTGCTTCTAAGCATCAGCTGATCTAGACTGGTTTGTAAGCTCAGCCTTGACAAAGAGATAATTTCCTTTTTAATTTAAGAAATTAAAAACAAGAAAAGCCACTTGCAATTATGTGATTAGAACCTTGCAATGATAAATATCTATGATTCTATTCCAATGTGTTTATATGATTTTATGAATCATCTTGCAACTCTTTCATGACTTTATATTTTCTTCTTGGCTTAAAAAAGCATTCACACATTGTCCATTGATTTTTCTAATAAACTCTAATAATATTCTTGACTGTATTAGTCTATGTTTTGTTTATTTTTATTGTTTTGTTCTTGGAATTATCTTATAGTATCCGAGTTACATCACAGTTCCAAAGTTAATGTGCTGGTAGAATTTCCTCATTGTGGACCTATTTTTGCTCATGGTTTCTCTACATTATTGTTTGGTCTCCTGTGCTTGGATAGAATGCCAAGGTGTCAAGAACACATTGAGAAGGTGTTGATACCACATAGACAGAAAGCCAGAGCAAGGAGGTAATATGGGACTTCATATAACCTTCAAAGGCAAAGGCCCAGTGACCTACTTCCTCCAACTAGGCTCCACCTCCTAAGGTTTACTGAGCATATAAACAGAATCATCATCTGAGGACCAAGCATTCAGTGCACGAGCCCATGGAAGGCATTTCATATTCAAACAATAACATGAGCAAACCCAACATGAGTTAAATGACATGTGCTACGGCAGGTAGTAGCGATAGCCAGAATCAAATCAAGGGCCTCTGGTTGTCTGATCCTTGAGGTACGATAGTCACAGGTACAGTTTTAGCTTAAGGAAATAGAGTACTGTAAACTGAACACTAAGAAGATGTATACTTCGCTTTCTTCTCAGGTAACATCATTGCTTCTCTCATTTTCAGTTCACCTTCATTCACAAAGCTCTTCCCAATTTGTTTCTCATACTTTGGTCTCTACCACCCACTCCTTAAGATAAGCAGTGTTTTAAGAGCCCTACCAAACGCTATACACTCCAGCCAGACAAATGGTAAGTGTCTTCAACTGCGTTCAATGATCCAAGTGTTCCCGCCACTGTCGTGAGACTTTGATGTGAATAGTTGCCCTAGTAAATGTTTATTGATGCCACAGGAATGCGCTTGTTTTTCTGGTCCTTATTCTTATATGACTGTGTGTATCATTGGGAAATAGACAGAATTTCACTTGCACTCACACATGGAAAGATAATTGTTTCAAGGTCAAAGTGGCATTAAGGAAATATAGGAGTGACAAATCCCAGAATTCAAGGCAAATTATTGATGCTAGCAGGCTTTGATCTTCCATGGTCTTTGAACCACCTGAGGGATCCAAAAATATACCTGACCTATGGGAGGGAAAGAACAACGAACTGAGAAAAATGAAAACTTTACTTCTAAGGTCAGCGAGGCTGTGAAGAGAGATCAAAGAAGGAGGTGATTCTAGGAGCAGGGGTAATTATGAACCAGGAGCTGAAAGAGAAAACAATAGGCATTCTGAAAGAAAGAACAAACAATGGAAAACAATGATAGAAAGCCTGGCGTTGCTACAGGAAAGTGGGAATAATGAAAAGAAATAACTAAATAAATACCTTAGAGGACCTAGATGCATCGTCTTCCCCGACACATGCCAGAGATTCCCTGTACACACTTCCAAAAATGTAAGTGAGAGAAAGAAAAAGACAGAAAGAGAGTCAGAGACAGACACAGACACACAGAGAGACACACACACACAGAGATTAGCCCATATTATTTTTATTTTATTTCTGTTTATGGAAACAGAAAATGGAGGTCAGAGGCTGAGCATCATGTGGTCTTTGATATGAACATTCTGCAGAGAATTTACCAATAGAAACAGTAGATTGACTTCAGGGGTAATGGATCAGTATAGACATTTTCTAGAAGAACAACATCAACAGTCATTTGATATGCTCTTTCATCCAACTCCCAAACTTAACTTTATTTTGTTGTCCATTCCTCTTCAATTAATTTATAGTAAACTCTGTAAGCATTGAATGAATAGCTGAAATCCTCATTTTAACATGCAGTTTAGTAACTAAACTCCTAGGTTTAGCTTATGTTTCATTTTTCAAAGAGAAAATAGCAAGCTCTAGGATACCACAGACAGTTTAATTTTCCAAACTGTAAGAGAGGCATTATACAGGTCATTACAGAAGTTACTGAGTTCAGGCATAGTAGGACTGGAAATTTATATTCAATTCTTGTTATCTTTGAAACAAATCACCATTAATTTAGTGGCTTAAACAACACAAATTTATTATCTTCCCAGTTCTAGAGGTCAGATGTCAAAAATTAAGTATCACTGAACTTGAATCCAAGTGTTAAGTTTTTTGTTGGTTGTACCTTTTCTGTAAGCAGTGGTTGTCATTTTCCATCTTCTAGGGCAGCCCACCCTCCTTGCATCGTGGCACTAAATTATTTTGCCCATATTTTCCATCTTCTTCTTTATTGATCAGGACCCTGTGTTTACATTGATCAGCTACAAATCATCCAGAACAATCTCTCTCTCTCTTGAGATTCTTAATCATGTCCTCAAAACTCCTTCACCACAAAGGGAGACACAGTCATAGGTCAGGACATGGCCAGCTCTTAAGGACTGCTGTCCTAATCACAAGAAGAAACTTGATATGTTCAGAAGTAACTTACTCATAGTGAGGAAAGATCCAGAATTAAATGGTATAATGTGACTATTTCTTCTAAAATGATATCAGTCAAAGTATTCCTAGACAAACAAAGAATAATTTGAAGTTACGAAAGTTAGAATGTTAAGATCTACAAGGCTATGTATAGAGGCTCATTGTTCTTGTTTACTGGTTCAGCATACTCTCATGACTCAGAACTAGCTGTTGGAGTATTTGAACAGTTGGTTGGCAATATTTAGAAACATGCTAACCTTAGAAACATGCTAACCCCTAGTGAGCTTCTCTAAATATCATAGTCAGAACTGAAAAAACCCTCACTCTGGCACCACAGAAACCTGAGCACATCTAAAACTGGGTATTGAATTTGAGGAACCACACCCTTCCTTCTGACACTATAATGTCATTGGTGTAGTGATTGTGATTGCACCAATAATTTCATTTACAGACCAACTTTATTTTATTTTGTAAAATTACAATGTTGTTTAATTCTTCATCTCTTATAGAAAATGATTATTAAGCAAACCAAATGAAATATTTGTTATGAATAATAGAAGTAGGTGTAGACAGGACACAATATAGGTAAAAACTGCTGACTTGGAATACACACCAAAATGAAATGTTTTATAGCGGAATTAAAACAATTGAGAAATTTAATGATGATGGCGTCATGAGATGCCAGAACTCAGAGGTTATCTTGAAAAATGGCATTTTGAGGGAAACCTATAGTCTTAAATTATTTAATTATTTATTCTACCAAATAAAAAAAGATAAATCTAGTATTTTAGTTAAAAGTTTGGGAATGATCAGTTCAGTGCCCCATTTTTTATTTGGGTTAATTAGCATTTTAAAGTCTAGTTTCTTGAGTTCTTTATATATTTTGGAGATTAGACCTTTGTCTGTTGCAGGGTTGGTGAAGATCTTCTCCCAGTCAGTGGATTGCCTCTTTGTCTTAGTGACAGTGTCTTTTGCTTTACAGAAGCTTCTCAGTTTCAGGAGGTCCCATTTATTCAATGTTGCTCTTAATGTCTGTGCTGCTGGGGTTATATGTAGGAAGCAGTCTCCTGAGCCCATATGTTGTAGGGTACTTCCCACTTTCTCTTCTATCAGGTTCAGTGTGTTCAGATTGATATTGAGGTCTTTAATCCATTTGGACTTGAGTTTTGTGCATGGTGATAGATATGGATCTATTTTCATTCTTCTACAGGTTGACATCCAGTTGTGCCAGCACCATTTGTTGAAGATGCTTTCTTTCTTCCATTGTATACTTTTAGCTCCTTTGTCAAAAATCAGGTGTTCATAGGTTTGTGGGTTAAAATCCGGGTTTCTATTTGATTCCATTGGTCGACTTCTCTGTCTTTTTTTTTTTAAATTTATTTATTTATTAAGGATTTCTGCCTCGTCCCCACAACCTCTTCCCATTTCCCTCCCCCTCCCCCGATCAAGTCCCCCTCCCTCATCTGCTCGAAGAGCAATCAGGGTTCCCTGACCTGTGGGAAGCCCAAGGACTGCCCACCTCTATCCAGGTCTCGTAAGGTGAGCATTCAAACTGCCTAGGCTCCCACAAAGCCAGTACGTGCAGTAGGATCAAAAACCCACTGCAATTGTTCTTGAATTCTCAGTATTCCTCATTGTCTGCTATGTTCAGCTGGTCCGGATTTATCCCATGCTTTTTCAGACCTAGGCCAGCTGGCCTTGGTGAGATCCCAATAGAACATCCCCATTGTCTTAGTGTGTGGGTGCACCCCTCGTGGTCCTGAGTTCCTTGCTCGTGCAACGACTTCTCTGTCTTTATGCCGATACCAAGCTGTTTTCAATACTGTAGCTCTGTAATAGAGTTTGAAGTCAGGGATGATAATGCCTCCAGAAGTTCCTTATTATATAAGATTATTTTGACTATCCTGGGTTTTTTGTTTTTCAATGGCCAAAAGATACTTAAGGTCATGCTCAACCTCCTTAGCTATCAGGGAAATGCAAATCAAAAAAACTCTGAGATATTATCTTACACCTGTCAGAATGGTTAAAATCAAAACCACCAATGATAGCCTTTGCTGGAGAGGTTGTGGAGTAAGGGGTACCCTCATCCATTGCTGGTGGAAATGCAAACTTGTACAACCACTTTGGAAATCAATTTGGCGGTTTCTCAGGAAATTCGGGATCAACCTACCCCTGGACCCAGCAATACCACTCTTGGGAATATACCCAAGAGATGCCCTATCATATTACAAAAGCATTTGTTCAACTATGTTCATAACAGCATTATTTTTAATATCCAGAACCTGGAAACAACCTAGATGCCCTTCAGTGGAAGAATGGATGAAGAAAGTGTAGAATATATCCTTATTAGAGTACTACTGAGCGGTAAAAAAACAATGACATCTTGAATTTTGCATGCAAATGGATGGAAATAGAAAACACTATCCTGAGTGAGGTAATCCCAGACCCAAAAAGATGAACATGGGATGTACTCACTCATAATTGGTTTCTAGCCATAAATAAAGGACATTGAGCCTATAATTTGTGATCCTAGAGAAGCTAAATAAGAAGGTGAACCCAAAGAAAAACATATAGTTATCCTCCTGGATATTGGAAGTAGACAAGATTGCTGGGCAAAAATTGGGGACTTGGGGGTGGGGTGGTATGGGGGTAAGGGGAAATGGTGAGAGAAAAGTAAGAAGGGAAGGATGGGGAGAGCTTGGTGGAATGGGATGGTTGAGATAAAGGAAGGGAGGATATGGAAGCAGGGAAGTATATATCTTAATTAAGGGAGCCATTTTAGGGTTGGCAAGAGACTTGACTCTAGAGGGGTTCCCAGGTGTCCAGGGAGATGTCCCCAGCTAGTTCCTTGGGCAGCTAAGGAGAGGGAACCTGAAATGGCCCTATCCTATATCCATACTGATGAATATCTTGCATATCACCATAGAACCTTCATCTGGTGATGGATGGAGATAGAGACAGAGACCCACATTGGAGCACCAGACTGAGCTCCCAAGGTCCCAATGAGGAGCAGAAGGAGGGAGAACATGAGCAAGGAAGTCATGACCACGAAGGGTGCACCCACTCACTGAGACAGTGGGGCTGAAAATTATAATGAGACATACTACTTATACAGATAACAAAAATGCTTCAGATCCTACAGTGAAGATACCAGGTATTAAAACACAAAGCACGGAATGGTCCACAGAGATGGGTTAACAACCTGAGGTTGGAACCTGCATAGTGAAAGGAGAAAACAGACTCGGGCAAATTGTTCTTAGACCTCCTCATGGGTGTATGACATACACATGTGCATGGACACACACACACAAACACACACACACACACAAGATAATAAAAAATAAAGTCATAAAGCAATAATGATGGTTATATGTCAGTATTTGCTAATTTTGATCATATGCAAATTCTGTAATGCAGAAACTTCACAACAAGAATATGTGGGTATATATTCACAGGAGTACTCATTCAAGTGGACCAAGCTCTAAACCAATATATTCATGACAGCATGAGTCACAAAGCCCTAATCATAAAAGTTGTCCAACATAACACAAGAATTAATAAACTAAAATATCACACAGAAGAGCTGGAGGGAGAGCTTAGTAGCTAAGAGCCACTAACTGCTCTTCTGGTGGACCAGGGTTCAATTCCCAGAGCACACACAGTGGCTTACAACCGTCTGTAACTTTAGCACCAAGGACTGGTGTGTGGTGTCTGTGCGCAATGTATACTTAGTACACATCCACTCAAACACAATACAAATAAACAAATCTTTAAAACTAGAACACAATAATCAATTGTATGGAAAAGGGACAAGCAACTACCCTATTCAACACAGTAATTCTAACGAACATACTTTGCGGCAAGAAAAAAAGAAAAACATATTCTATGCTATTGTAATTGGGGTAAAATTTCATAATTGTCAAACACTGCTATTATAAGTCAGCAGACTATCTTATAGGAGAGGAAAAGGTAATGATAATGAAAACAGCTACTCCAAGGTGCATACTATTTCCTGGTATGAACAATAGTCTTGTCATGTTTGGTTGAACTATACATTTAAAAGCGTGCATTTTTCTGGAAGCACACTAGGATTAAGTTTCCATTTTAAAACTTATTTGTGTGGTAATTTTTTTTCTCATTTTATGAAGACTATACCCATGTTGGGATGCCTACCTAAGGGTACTGAGTTTTCTGATCTAAATTGATTGACTCTTTATGACCCCCCCCCCAATATTCACCTGCCAGTATCCTCAGGTCTGGTTTAGATTCACATGCTCAAAAGACCCATGATCTATTTGATAAAGTTGATGTGACAGTGACCATGCTTGCTGCAAATAAACATGTCTATTGCAGCGTGGAATAAGCAGGCAGCTCTGATGAACAGGCTTGGACCAGGCAAGGACCGAGTTTGTCACTATGAACACATCAACATCACTCTCCTTCTCTCAAACACTTCCCAGACTACACCAAAATGTACAAACTGAAGGGAGAAAATGGTCAGTTCCTCCTGGGTCCACAGAGCCATCACATGACTGGAGAATAATCAGAGCAGAAATGGTGGTAATGATTCCAAAACTACCCTCAAAGAACTATGCATATTAATTGCTTGCAGCACAATTTTCTAAAGATTTGTAATACTTAAAGTGCAACTTCCTCTATTGAGAATTTCCTCATGAACAACAGAAAACAAACAACAGGGAAAAGTCCTGCTTATTGGTTCCTTCATGACATGTCCAGGGTATAAAAGCCCCAGGACTGAAACAGCTGTCAGAATCTCAGGAACCCCTGTGAACAGAACCTCTCCCTCCACATCCAACACCATGACCAACTCCTGCTGCTCTCCTTGCTGCCAGCCTTCCTGCTGCAGGACCACCTGCTGCAGAACCACCTGCTGGAGACCAAGCTGTGTGAGCAGCTGCTGCCAGCCCTGTTGCCAGCCCAGCTGCTGTGGCTCCAGCTGTTGCCAGCCTTGCTGCCAGCCCAGCTGCTGTAGGACCTGCTTCCAGCCAAGCTGTGTGAGCAGCTGCTGCAGCACACCCTGCTGCCAGCCCTGCTGCTGTGTGTCCAGCTGCTGCCAGCCCTGCTGCCAGCCCAGCTGCTGCCAGCCCAGCTGCTGCCAGCCCAGTTGCTGTGAGCCCAGCTGCTGTCAGCCCAGGTGCTGTATTTCCAGCTGCTGCCAGCCCTGCTGCCAGCCCAGCTGCTGCAAGCCCAGCTGCTGCCTCAAGCCCTGCTGCCAGCCCTGCTGCCCTGAGCTGTGCTGCCAGCCAGCTTGCTCTGGACCTGTGACCGTCACCAGGACTTGCTACCAGCCCACATGTGTCTGTGTGCCTGGCTGTCTGTCCCAGGGCTGTGGGTCCAACTGCTGTGAGCCCTGCAACTGTTGATGAAGCCACTACTGGAATAGAATAATCTGTTCTCAGACCTTCTGGAGTTTTGCTTTATGCCAAACTCTCTGCCTTTGTTCTGCCTATAACACAGAGACAATACTCAAATGACCAATCTTCCTACTAACAACCTGTGAAAAGCACCCTAACTGCCATCTGATGCTATCTTCATTTCTCTGCCTGCCAGCTTCATCTGCTATGACCTGGATTCGTAGTGTTAGCATGCGCAGAATCTATTCCCTTAATAGGTTAAGAAGTTAAAAATACATATACAATTCACGAATGTTTTGTTGCATCTTTGCAGAGATAAATGCCCATCATTATACTTCAATGTGTTGTGTCTTCACAGTTTTATGACTCATCTTGTGAGTAATCGTGGCAACTTTATATTGTCTCTCCAACTATAGAGATACTACCCATTGCTATTCTAATAAAATCTTCTTTATTCTACCTTTCATATTATGTTTGATTCTTTTTCTATTTGTCTTTTACATCATGTTTTCTGATCTAAGTCATGCCAGTCATTGCATTAGATTCAGTGCATTAATCAGAATCTCTTCACTCTGAATAAAATCATAGAAAGAGCAACTAAATGAATGTCTTGTAACTCATGGCTTCAGGGGGCTCAGTACATGATTGCTTGGCCTCATTTGCTTGGATGAACATCATGGGGCAAGAGTGTGTAGGGACACTATACAAGTGCGAACAATGAGTGACTATGGGCGCTTGGCCCTAAATACGACATCTATAGACCTCTCCTACTCCACTGCAAAGGGTCAAGGAACATCGTGGCAGAAGGATGCAGAAGAGTTCTCTGAAACATTGTCTCCTGCCCGCGACACGGCCATTGCTCTTAGAATCTTACAGCAGCTCTTGTTACCTGCAAAGACTAAGTGGCCCAATCTCTACCACGTACCTAGGGATGGGTAGAATCAGGTCCAGGGCCCAGTTTTTCTGATTCTGGAGCAAACAGAGACACAGGTACAACTCAGTTGAACTATCTCCAACACTGGAGCTTGAGCACTGTAAATATGTGTCTTTCCGGTTCATCTCTGGCAAAGAAAATGTCAGTTCCTTTCATTTCCAGATCATCTTCGCTCAAAAGGCTCTTTTCCATCCATTGCTCACAGTGGGGTCACCACTAGCCACTTAAGACGGGCAATGGTAAAAGGATGTGAACTCTATTGTCTCGGTCTCGGCCCAGCAACTGGTTGGCCCCTTTAATCCTTTTGGTGATTCACTTGTGCCTGCTGCTGTCCTCGGACTTTGATGTGAGCAGTTGCACTAGAAATAGCTTGCTCCTGAGTGGAAGTGTCATTATTTATGTTCTCACACTTCTTGTTAGTAATAACAAATAGTCTTATGGGAATAAATCATGCCTCATGAAACACAATAAATCTCCCCCTTGCACTCAGACATAGAGAGACAATCTGTTTCTGAGTAAAAACATTATTAAGGGAATAAAGGAGTGAGAGACCCCAGGACTCAAGGTCATCTACCAGCCTTTGATTTTCTAACATCTCTGGGACACCTAAGGAATCAAAATATCTTCCGGAGTTTGAGGAGAGAAAAACAAATCAGCGCAGGGAAATGAAAGCCCGAGTTGTTGCATCAAGACTGTGAAGAAAAGGAGAGGGGGAAAGAGGGAAAGAGACACATTAGAAGCCATGATCTATACGAATATGAACCTGACAGAGGAAACCCCAGAGCTCCATAAACAATGGAGAACTTCGTAATATAGTGGCTGACACTGTTATGGGAAAAAGATAAACATGAATGGACAGATTTACCTCCCTGGGAACAATATAGCACACCTACACAATGCTAATGGGTTCACGGCATAGGAGACACGCAATTCTTCTCAGATGTATACTTAGAAAGTCTCCAGCAGTCTATGTGCAATCGATCTTCAGAGAGAGACACATCTTAGCCCAGTTTAGTGGATTTTCATTTTTAAGGACACAGCTGAGGGAGCTCACTGGACTGAATTTTGTTTCTTACACATAGATTCAGCAATATCATAGAAACGGAAAACTAGACGCCCAGCGGGTCAGCCCATATAGGCTTTGGCTGAACTCTATTAGCACAAATTTAACTCTCTTTATTTCATGGGTTACATGTTCTTTAAAGTTATGTGTTCTTTAAAATGCATCTTTAATCGGTTTGTGGAAAATTACATAAGCATTTAATGCTCTTTGAAATTCTCCTTTTGACACAGCTAGAGACGACTCTTAGATTTTAATCACATTCCTTCCAAGAGAAAGTATTTTTGGAGTCTAAGCAACTCTGAAATAACATAGCTTAACTTCAAAAATTAAATGGGAGCCATTAGAAAAGCCATATAGGAAAGTCAAGTTAGGGCACCACGGGACTGGAAATATGTATTTGCTTCTTATTACTCTTGTAATGAATCATTGCCAGCTTCCTTGCTAAAATAGCACAGCAGTGTTATCTTCTAGTTGTGAAGTCTGAAGCGTCATAGGTTCAAATGCAGCAGTTGAGATGGGTGTATTCCTACTCCCAGAAATAGAGGAAATCCACCTCCTGGCATTTTTCAGCTTGTAGAACTGCATGTGTCCTTTGGATCATGACCTTTTTTGTGCATGTGCTTTCCATCTTCCTCTGTCTTTGCCAGGGTTCTTTTCACATTGGGCATAAGAGAGATCTCTTCTTCTTGAGATCCCTAATTAGAAAACACGGTCAAAGTATGTGGCAGACATGCAAGAAATAGTCTCTACGGAACCCAGCACTATGCACAATAAACTCATGACAATAAAACTAGGAAAACATTGACAGAGGGACAAGGCAGGCCCCAGGGTGAAAGGCAGCACTGGGAACACATGAAATTAACAAAGGTGTCAATATAGAAATAAGAACAAAACAAATAATTCCAAAAAAACCCTTAAGACACGATTAGCATTCCATAAAAGAGAACTCAACATGTCCAGTGAATGTATGGGAGATCAACTCATTCGCCTTCAAGGAAAATCAAATGAAGTTTTGAAGAAGAAGAAGAGAATACTAAATAGCTACTCTGTTAGTCAGCAATCCATCCCTGTGACAAAATGAGATAAACAACTTAAAAGGAAATGTCTGTTTGAGCTGTGGTTTCTGAGGTTTTAGTCCACAACTGCTCTGCCTTGTTGCTTTTAGGCTTAGGGTTAAAGCACTGTATGGTGGCAGAACCATGGCGGAAATGAAAGCTGATTGCCACATGGTCACTGAGAAACAAATATTCAGAGACAAAGACAAACACATGCTCTCAATGGCCTCCTTCCTCCACATAGATCCCGCCCCTAAACTTTTCATCACTCATTAGCAGTACCATCAGCTGGGGACCAAGGCTTCAACACATCAACTCCGAGCAGACATTTAACAAACAAACTATAACTATAGCAGATACATAATAAAAGAAATGCCTAAAAGCCCAGACTGAAAGTATCAAGTGTAGATGATACCTAAAGCAATGTGAATAATCAGTTGTGTATTGTGTATATCATTGCAACCTTGAGTGTGCTCATGTGCGTTTGTGTTTGTGTCTGTATGGATACACACATGTATGCAGGTGTGATACATCTGTGTACACATGGACAACCTCAGGTGTTCCTCAGGGAGCCATTCACCTTGCATTTGAGCTGGTCTCACTGGAACTTGTCGATTAGGTTAGTCTACCTGGCCAGAAAACCTTGTACCCTCCTCTATGATGCTGGCATTACAAGCACATGTCACTTTGCTCGGCAGTTTTTACAAGGGTTCTGGAGATCAAACTCGGCTTCTCATGCTTGCACGGCAAGCACTTTACCAGCTGACCTGTCTGCCCAACACGTGCAGCTGGGTTTTTAAAAACCATTCGGAACTGTATACTGATGTTCATTATACCTACAATTTGGAATCCAAAATTTCCCATCAAAGAATACATCTACAAACATCCACAAATTCGTAGATTAAAAAATAGAGAAATCATCATAAGAGTATCATTCTCAAAAGTCTTAATAATGAGAAAATGTCCATCAAAGACACAGAAATGAAAACATTAAGGTCTTGTCATGCAATGAGCATTAATAGATTATAGTCTTACCATACAAATATGTGAAATGATTGAGGAAAATTAAAATGAAATGACTAGTGAATCTAACAAAGTCATTAAATCTCACAAATATTATTTGGAGCAAAGGAAAATGAACCATATGAGTTATATTATTTCGTTTTTGATAAAACTCAAAAATTGACACACTGTGAGGGCCAAAACCATATACTAGTTGCCTTAGATAGCAGGGCAATGGTAGCAATTATAAAATCAAGGACAGCTACTAAACATATACATACTGACACTTGATATGAAGGTCAGACACACCATTTCTCATATTATATCTCATCAAACTACAGGGTATGCCCATCTCTGAAAGTATATTATGATTCAGTTTACTTTAAAATGCAGCTGTCTAGTTACGGTGTTTAATTTCCTCATTATCCTACAAGTGAACAGGTTTCAGATCTAGGTTGTCTGAGGTCTTCTGATCCCCACATCTTCCTCTGATTTTGAATTCTGGCTTTGGTGCTCATGGGTGCCTTTGAGAAGAGACTACAAGCTACCATCTTTCCATGGGTTCTTTGATACGACTGTTTGAGCATGGGTAATACTTGCTGCAAATGGGCTCGCCTGTTGTAGTGTATAACAAGCAAACATCTCTGGGAAAAATCCTGGATAAAGGCATGGCTTCATTTAGCCACTGTGAATATAGATCTCGCTACAAACACATCGTAGTCTGCATACAGCCAAGGAAACAGGAAAACAACTTGAAGAAGGGCGTGTGTCAGCCCCTCCTGTGGCTGCAGCAGCGATCACCTGAGCAAATAATGATCTGAGCAGAAACAATGCTGATGATGACTTCTAGAAATTACCTTCCTTGAATTACCCACAATTAACTGCTTGCAGCATAATTTCAAAAGATTTCTTCAACTCGAGGAGTACTTCCTTCTGTGAGAATTTCCTCCTGAACAGTAGAAAACAAACAACAAGGAAAAGTCCTGCTTATTGGTCCCTTCGTGGCATGTCCAGGGTATAAAAGCCCCAGGACTGAAACAGCTGTCAGAATCTCAGAAACCCCTGTGAACAGAACCTCTTCCTCCACATCCAACACCATGACCAACTCCTGTTGTTCCCCTTGCTGCCAGCCTTCCTGCTGCAGGACCACCTGCTGCAGAACCACCTGCTGGAGACCAAGCTGTGTGAGCAGCTGCTGCCAGCCCTGTTGCCAGCCCAGCTGCTGTGGCTCCAGCTGTTGCCAGCCTTGCTGCCAGCCCAGCTGCTGTAGGACCTGCTTCCAGCCAAGCTGTGTGAGCAGCTGCTGCAGCACACCCTGCTGCCAGCCCTGCTGCTGTGTGTCCAGCTGCTGCCAGCCCAGCTGCTGCCAGCCCAGTTGCTGTGAGCCCAGCTGCTGTCAGCCCAGGTGCTGTATTTCCAGCTGCTGCCAGCCCTGCTGCCAGCCCAGCTGCTGCAAGCCCAGCTGCTGTCTCAAGCCCTGCTGCCAGCCCTGCTGCCCTGAGCTGTGCTGCCAGCCAGCTTGCTCTGGACCTGTGACCGTCACCAGGACTTGCTACCAGCCCACATGTGTCTGTGTGCCTGGCTGTCTGTCCCAGGGCTGTGGGTCTAGCTGCTGTGAGCCCTGTAGCTGCTGATTCTGTCTTTAGTCACATGCTAACTTGCCATTGTCTAACCAAAATCTTCCAACAAAATAACTGCATGCTCTGCCGTCATTAACTATTAGTAGGTTGTCTTGTTGCACATGATTGTGGGTGTGGACTTGAGAGAGCCTGCTCTTCTCATTGCTCAGTACTTAACCTTCTGGTCTATTTGATCTTCTCTTGACCTTGAGTTATGTTCTCACATTCAGAAAAGAATATTTATTCTATCTCTCCAAGCAACTTGAGTAAATCAAACCTCCATTCTTCTTTATTATTCCTGGGCGGTGATGAATTATTTCATTTCCCTGGGTATTCCTATTCTCTTCACTATTGGGCTCGCTTTAAATTGTCTTCTGGATTACAAGTATTCTAAATAAATCTGCATGTGTTTTTGAAAACTGTCTGGCTGCTGTTTCATCTTTTCCTGGGCAACTATGTGTTGCAACAGCATTTCCTTCAGAAAAGCTTATATTCTGAATGCCTTCCAGTTCCATCATCAGTGCACAGTTCCTCAGTACCCTCATAACATGTTCAGAGCCAACAAAACTCCTTATTCACTGTCATCTGGAATAACATCTCATGGTACTTCCACTTACATCTTCCTCCAAACAGAAACAACTCGGAACAGGTAAGGAGTGCCTGGCTCTGGCCTCTCCTGCAAGAGAAAGCCACACACGTGCATGCACAGGGCACATTTCTGTGCACAAGAAAATTAAGGACGGCAGTGCTATTTACAGTAGCCAACTTGAACATCCAACTAAGAGGGATGGGTTAGAAAAATGTGTCTTCTATGCATCCTGGATAATTTCATCCATAGAAAAGAATGAAATTGTGATTTCCCCCCTGGGGAAAGTGGTTGCAAACTGGAGACAATTGTGTCAAGTGGATTAAGATGGGGACAGGAAGACAAATATCCTGTTTTATTTTTGGCTCCTAGATTTTATATAGTCAATAACATATATATTGTGTGAAAGTAGAAGTGAATCGCTGCCATTTATCTGAACCTATAGAATTTCTGGCGGTATTCTAAATACTTGTCCTTCTAGCACAGAACAGCATAGCTCTCATCACTTCTCAAAGAAGCTTCCTTTTGCGGAGACACACTACCACAGAGCTCCAGGACTAGTCGGAATGCAGCGGAGAAGTGACCATGTAGGGAAGCCTGGAGTTTTCTCAGCCCAAGTTGGTATATCTACAACACAACCCCTATAACCTCTGGGATTCAGAGGACATCACAGAAGAGGGGGGCAGATATCTGCTCTTTGAATGTTTCCTAGATAGGACAGGCATGCTTTACCCACGAAATCTCAACAATATGGTTGCCTTAGCAATACCAGGGTAATGACAACACTAGTTGACATGCCTACACCCATAGGGAAACTCTCACAAGGTAGATGAAAAGCTAAAGGTAATCAACGGCTATTGAGAAATGGAGAATCTGTTTTCTTCAGGTATGAGCCCCATGATAGGTTATCCAACACCAAATAGTCAGGCCTAAACAGTTCTACATACTAGCACCAGTAAATGGACTTCGTGGGTGGTGTGTGTGTGTGTGTGTGTGTGTGTGTACACATTTGAACACATGATCATGCATGTGTGATAGTTATAGAAGAGGAAATGAATTAGAGAGAGAGTAAAAGGACATGAAGGAGTTTGTGGAGGGGCAGGTATAAATGATGTAAAATACAGTAATTATGCACAAAATTCCGAAAAAGTAGTTTTAAAAATATAAGTAAAATTTTCTAGAGGAATAAAAGAGATTAATAATGAAAAGGGAGGCCAAAGGCTGGGTAAAGGAATGGAGGATAGGTGAGTATGCCTAGCACACAATCATACTACGGGACTTTAAATTAAAAGTTTTGAGTAAGATAAAATAAAAAACAAGAGCTCTGTAATAGAAGATCATTAGAAGTCATGAATGGATATAAGGAGGACAGTTAAAGAGGGAATATGGATAGATATTAAGAAAAATAAACACAGAAGAACATTAAAAAAGCTTTAGAATTTTCTATCTCTTTCCATTAGTTAATGGATGAAGTCTCTCTGATGGCCATTGTGCTAGGTACCAATCTGTGAGTATAGCAAAATATTATTAGGCATCATTAAATTGAGATTTTATTTTTTCCAGTCATGTTTGTTTCAATCTTTGCCATCAAACCTCTGGGTCCTAGCACCCTGGGCAGTGCCAGTTGTGGACTCATTCCCATGGCATGGGTCATCACTTGGCCACTCCCACAATCTCCATAGTAGCCTTAAGGCAGGACTGACTGAAAGGTGAAGATTATGTGACTGGGTTGGTGTCCTGTTTCCTCACTGTGAGCCTTACTTGGTCACAGAAGTTAGCCAGTGTAGGCTATGCAACTCATACTGCTTAGAGTCTTAGCTGGGGTCGTTCCTGTAGGTTCCTGGGGGTTTTCCTTGCACCAGGTTTCTACTGCACCCCCAAACGCCCCCATTTCAGTCTTCTTTCAGAACTCTGTCTCCATCCTTTCTCCACCTGCCCCGAGTCCTTTCCCTTTCCCAGAGAGATCTGAGCCTTCCTCCTTGAAATTTCCTTATTGACTAGCCTCTCTGTCCTGTGGATTGTTGCATATTTTCCTTTACTTTATAGCTTCTAAGTTGTATTTTATTTTTTTTTCTACAGATCTACCAGGGTTTGAAAATGATTCTTGCAAATTCAGAAACCTCATCTTGCTAAAATGGAAGAGGATGAGACTCCCTGTGGGGAGGGCATGTAAAATTTATTATCTCCATAAGTCTAATGCTATCTTTAAAAGTCATTTCTCTGGTCATGAGTTCTAAAGGGAAGTCAAATAATGAAGGTCACGCTCTAAATGAATAGCAAATGAGAGTGGCAGCATGTCTCCTGGGATCTCTTTAATGCACACTGAAATCCACAGCTGGCCTAAAGACCCAGAAGACACAGAATAACAACCCTCTTCCCTGTACTGCATTTGGATAGGCACTGCCAGTACTTGTATCTCTGCCTCCCCTTCACCAAAACCACCCTAGTTCACCACTCCTCACTCCTCTACATCGTTTTTATAAATTGTCAACTAAACCAGCAAGACTTTTGCTAGCTTCAGCACTATTTCTTTAAAATGTGTCTTCGAATGTTTAGTGTTGCTATCACGAAACCTCTGAGACCATACGACTTTTAGAGGAAAGAGGTTCATCTGGCTCATGATTCAGGTGTCTGACAAGTCCAGACAGTCCCCGGATCTGCATCTCGTGAGGACTTCTTGGCAATCCTAACATGATAGAGAAGCAGAAAGAGAGGATGTACACTGAGGAAAAGCAAGAGACTGTGTTGGCAAAAATCAAATTTCTTTTGTAACAACCTAGTCTCTTAGGACCTGGTTCAACTTCAAAAAAACCCTCCCATTTCCTGAGTCAAAATCAATCCATTCATGAGGGCCAATCACCACATCTAATTATTTTTCACAAGACCCCACTTCTTTTTTTATTGTCTTTGTGGGTTTTAAATCATTCATTTTCATCCCACTTACCTCCCCATTGTCTCACATCTGCCCTCTGCCCTTGCAAACTTCCCCGCAAAACTAACCAAATTTGAAAGAAAAATCCAAAACCAAACAAAACATTCATACACACACACACACACACACACACACACACAGAGAGAGAGAGAGAGAGAGAGAGAGAGAGAGAGAGAGAGAGAGAGATCTGTGGTAGAAGCTGTAGTGTGGCCCATTGAGTCACACAGTTTACCCTCTAGTCCATTCATTTTTACTTGTAAGTGTTCATGCCATGAGTCATTAGGCTGGCTTGAGATCTTTGGCTTCTGCTACGCCAGCCACCAATAACGAGCTCTCGCTGGGGCTTTCCTTGAATATCCTGTTGTTGTCCTGTGTCATGGAGATCCTGCTGTTTAGGATATGTAGGGTCATCTCCTTCACCTACTCCAACAGTTCTTAGATGAGGTGGATGTTGGTGTGGGCCAACTCTCATAGCCCTGATTCTGGGCCTGTGTGGTAGCTGGGTTGGTCAACCCCCCAGCTTTTCCCCTCACCATCTCTACCTGGTCTATATTTCCAGCACCACTTCAGCTAGCTCATCCAATGCTGCCTACAGCAAGGAGCAGGCCAGTTCTCTCTCAGGCCCTCAGATTCAGGTCACCCACGCTCACACCACCAGGGCCCGCTCTACTGTTTTGCCCAGGTGAGGTACAGGGCCTACCCTCTCTCTTGATTGCTGTTGGTGGTCTATAAAGGATGATGACTGGGTTCAGCGCCCCCACCTTGCTCTCATGCCCTCACGGCTGGCTCCTCTGTGCACCCAACAATAGGGTCAGCTCTAGTGTGCTGTCCAGGCAGAGTGCAGGGCCTGCTCTCCTGTGTGAAGGGCAGGGCCGGTTCTCTCACTCTCATGATCCCAGGGTCAGCTGTCTTGCCTGCAACAGCTAGCAAGGAGGTAGAGAGCATAGAGCAGCTTTCTCTCACCCTTGCTACCACATGGCAGACAGGGGACAGCTTCAGCTCTCTTGCTCTCACACCTCCAGGGTTAGCTCATCTAACCCAACAAAGTCAGCCCCCAACCACAAAGTCAGCTTAGTGTGCTATAAGGGATGGGGCCATCTTTCCCAAAGGCAGGGGGCAGAGCCAGCTTTCCTGCAACAGTATCTAATCAGGGGCAGGACCAACTATCCCAGAGTCAGCAAAGGGTAGGGTTGGCACAGCACAGCATGGTTCCAATAACCCCTGTGCTAACATGCCAAGGACATCATCACAGACCCCAGCTGCAGTAGGACCATGGACCCAGACATGGCCTTTGGCAGCTGCTCAGACCCGGATGTCACCATGGGCCTGGTGGCAGCACAGGCCACCAGGATCAATATGACCCCAGTGGCAGCATGAAGATCCCACTTCTTAAGAGTCCTACTTAATGGTCTCCAACCAGAGACCAAGATGTCAGCACATAAACCTTGGAGAAACATTCCATACCAGGCCACAGAAGGATGTGCTGTGTGATTCTGTAATACCTAATCTAATACTTGCTATCCACATTCCACACCCACTAATAATACTGTTAATGTGTGGTTTGAGCAAGAAAGTGCTTTAGAAAAAAGAGAATATAAAAAGTCACATCAAGGCCAGGCGGTGATGGCGCATGCCTTTAATCCCAGCACTCAGAAGGCAGAGGCAGGTGGATCTCTGTGAGTTCGAGGCCAGCCTGGTCTACAAGAGCTAGTTCCAGGACAGGCTCCAAAACCACAGAGAAACCCTGTCTCAAAAAACCAAAAAAAAAAAAAAAAAAAAAAAAAAAAAAGTCACATCAGGGCCAAACTGGATCACAGGAGACTGAGGAATCTTGACTTATTGGGAGCTAATTTTATTGGTGAATGTGAAGGAAATAAAGGACAGAAAGTTAAATCTGGGAGGTGGAATGTATCATAAACAGAAACTGCATAAAAGTCATTCCAACTCTGTGCCCCAGAAGTGTGATCATAACCACACCGAATTGTCCTCAGAAATACAAATGGAACGAAGATGTGGACCTTGATATTTGTTTTCTAAAAAGAGTTACTAAATAAAAAAAAAATAGACTTAAGTACCTCGATGTGGTAGTCCTAGCACTCAGCTACCTCCTCTCTCCAGACCCTTTTTCCTCGACAGAATCAACTCTCCCACTGGTTCACCCTCCGTCCTCTCCCTCAGGTGCCTCCATGGCCGGCTCTGAAGAGCTGGGGCTCCGAGAGGACACACTGAGGGTTCTGGTAGCTTTCCTTAGGCGCGGTGAAGCTGTTGGGTGCCCTGTCCCAACTCCACCCAGGAGCCCTGCCCAAGAGGAGCCCACAGATTTCCTGAGTCGTCTCCGAAGATGTCTCCCTTGTCCCCTGGGTAGAGGAGCCCCTCCCCCGGAGTCCTCTCGGCCCTGCTTCCTTCCCCTACGCCCCTGCTATGACTCGGGACCTGGTCCAGCTACTTCAGACTTCTATGCCGTGGTTGCCCAGCGTCTGGAACAATTGGTCCAAGAGCAACTGAGATCTCCGCCCAGCCCAGAGTTCCAGGGACCCCCACCCACAGAAAAGGAAGCCCTGCTAAGGAGGCTGGTAGCCTTGCTGGAGGAGGAAGCAGAAGTCATCAACCAAAAGCTAGCTTCTGACCCAGCTCTGCACCGGAAACTTGCTCGCCTGTCAGCGGGCTCCTTCGCCCGCCTTGTGGAACTCTTCTCCAGTCGTGAAGTCAGCTCCTCCCCAAGCTGTACAAGCCCCTCGTTGCCATGCCTGGCGCCCCCACCGCCATCCCCGGAGCCTTTGGCCCGCCTGGCTCTGGCTATGGAGCTGAGCCGGCGCGTGGCCGGGCTGGGGGGCACCCTGGCCAGCCTCAGTGTAGATCACGTACACAGCTTTGCGCCCTGGATCCAGGCCCATGGGGGCTGGGCAGGCATCCTGGCTGTGTCGCCTGTGGACCTGAACTTACCCTTGGACTGAGTGCTTCCGCCGAGGCTGCTGCAGGAGTGCCCACAGGTCCTGCTGACACACGTGTTTCCTCTCAGGGCTCAGGTGGCGGCTGCCGTGCCACCTTTCTTTCTTTTTTTTTTTGCCAAAAAGATTGTTTAGAAATATTTCCATATTAAAAGCTTTGTTCTTTAACTAGAAAAAAAAATAATGTCATCCCAAAAAGTAAGGGAAAGGAGTGCTATAAATATCAATATTTTAAAGACATAATGGTTTAAACAATAAGGGGAAATCCCAGCTACTCTGATGAGGCAACATACAACAGACACAAAGTATTATAATTGTGAAATACTAAGTTGTCCCTCCTGTATCAAGAATATACAAATATATTTATTATATCTACTAGAGTCAAGCCAGATCATTTAAAATCCTCCACAAACCCTTGTTGGTAAATGATTAAAATGATAAAGGAATTTGGGTGCAAAAGCAATGTGTATACATAAGTTGTTGTCCCATATACATAGCTAAGAATTAAAACAGCAGCATGCATATTAGCACAGAAGGTAAAATGCCTAGACATAAAGCTAATGGATGCTATGCGAGACGGCTAGACACAACATTATAGAAGTTTCACTATGGAATTTATCCAAGATTTATTTTTATTTGTATTTCTCTGTGTATATGTATGCACATGTGAGCCACATGTGTGTTAATGCCTAAAGAGGCCAGAAGAGGGCGCTGGATGCCCTGAAGCTGGAGTCACGATGAGCCATCCGACACAGGCGGTAGTAACTGAACTCAGGCCCTCTGCAGGAGTAAACTCATGAGTGCTCTTAACTGCTGTGCTGCCTCTCCGGCCAAACACTGAGCAAATCCACGAACACTGCTCTTAGGTGTTTTACTGTTTTAAAGAATCCATCCATTAACCAAAAGACCCCTTCGTGACCTTATGTACCAGAATGATTTTTAATATTTTAATAGCCTCAAATTGCTAGCTATACCGCATGAACAGTAGAGGAGAGAAATTATGCCTTACTCATTTATTGGGAGATTATAAACCAAGGATAATAAATGAATTACCTGGATGAACTAATGGCGGTAGCAGACATAAAAGTAGCAGATTCTATACTACTTCGCTCACATAAATTTTAAAGGCAGCTGGAAGTAACCTATAATTTATTGTATTAGTAAAGACATGTGAAGAGATTCTACTCTGAGAAGATGGTGTTAAGTTCGATTTCTCAATGTGGTTATAGTGCCCCGGGCATGTTCACCTTGTGATGAAGTTGTAAACTAGAAACTTCAACACCTTTTTAAATGAGTGCTGTGTTGCAATAGTTTTATGTCAGCTTGACACAAGGCAAAGTCATTCGAGAGGAGGGAGCCTTCATCAAGAAAATGCCTCCATAAGATTGGGCTGTACACAAACTTGTAGGATATTTTCTTGATTATTGATTAATGGGGGAGGGTTCAGTCCCCTGGGCTGGTGGTCCTGGGTTCTATAAGGAAGCAGGCTCAGCAAACCTTGAGGAGCAAGCCAATAAGAAGCAACCCTCATGGCCTCTGCATCAGCTCCCGCCTCCAAGTTCCTGTCTTGCTTGAGTTCCTGCCCTCACTGCTCTTGGCTGTGAACTGTTATATGGAACTCTGAGTGAAAGGAATTTTTTCTCTCCAACATGCTTTTAATCATGGTAATTGATCACAGTAACCTAACTTAGGACAAATGCTATTTCTCATAAAAGTTTCCAATATGTTAGAGCTTACCTATAACTCAGACATCATTCTCTTCTAAACTATTCCTTTGTTCATTCGGAAGAACAAACAGAGACAGAAGTCAGTCACTCAAGATCACTGACTTCCTTGCTTTACAGTGTTAGAAAGAGAGCCACCAGTGCATTTGGTATCCCTAAAATGTACCTCAGTTATTCCTGGCCCCGCCCATATAGATTTTCTCATTCTGAAAACGATTATACAAAGGAGGGACTACTGGTCTACCAGATGCAACGTTGGTTGATGGTTTTTATCTGAGTGGCAAACTTTTGCTTCTACTCACTTGATCTGGTGCTGTGCTGCACGGGAATGCATTTTCCCAGCCATCTCCCCAGTGTCAGTAACACACATGGGACACACAGGTGTGGAGACTGGTATGGACACATGTGCATACACCACTCCTGCATGGGACTTCCGAAGGATAAAGAGACATGGAACCAAGCTTTGCATTGCTCACTGGGAGGATGATGTGATCAGGTTCCTTCCCATATGCTTCCTAATCTCAGCACAAAGGAACAAAGCTGCAGAGGAAAGACCCTGACCCTTCCAGGCTGCAGGAATCACATGACAAAATGGTGGTGTGACTCCGCACTTGTATCTAAAAACAAACCCAAAAATATACTAAATACTTACTTTTGGAAATCCCAACTGTTTTGGGCCTATAACAGAGCTATAGGGGAACAGAGCTAGGTGGGGAACACTAAGCTGAATGCTGGGGAGAAAAGAGGCAGAGGCAGAGAAAAGCCATGGAGCTGCTGCCAGAGACAGAGGTGCTGAAACCTTGCTGGTAAGCCATGACCTCATGGTGATGCACAGGTTACTAAAAATGGGTTAAATTCAAATATAAGTGTTAGCCAGTAAGAAGCTAATGAGCCAAGCAGTGTTTCAAATAATATAGTTTCTGTGTGATTCTTTCAGGGCTGAGCATCAGGGGACAAATAAGTGACCTCCTTGCTACAGACATGGTCACCAGCAAAACAATGTTCTAAAGTTTAGTGAAATTCCATGCAATGCGACCAGAGTGCACGTGATGTATAATAAAATGGAAGACCAAGGAAAGATGTTCCTTCCCTGGGCAGAGCTCAGCTCCTCAGTGAGAAAAGGGCCAGGCATGGCTTACTCAGCTCTAAACTTCTACCCAGTTCTTTTTAAGAAAGACACATCACGTCGACAAGTGCCTTGTCCAGGCTGGAGTCTACTCTGAATCTTGACACCCTTCCTTGTCTTGAAGTTACCTTTGTGCTAACTGACTTTTTTCTTCCTTGGGTTACAATAAACTTGAAATTTCAAAGGAAGGTGACACTCCTTATTTTTCCTATTGGGAACACCCATGGTGGATATTTCTGACTTATGAGAGTTGAATTTTGATACAAGGTAAACACACTCGCCACTCACTTTTTTTTTTTTTTTTAGTGGAAACATACCCTGCCTGTGTTGTATGACTTTTCCTTCTGGGGAATAAAGAAACATCTATACAGCCTCCACAGGACACTGACAACAGACCAGAGAGACTATTCCACCCAAGTCCGCCTTAGTGCACTGGGTAGTTTATTGATGTTACTTAGAGGAGCATGAACCACTCAGAGGCAGCTACACCATAAAAAGTTCATCCCAGCATGGGTGATATTCATGAAAGCCACATCCCAGAAGCTCCCTACAGAACCCTCCGGTGGCTTTGATCTAGAGAGTCATCATTTTCCAGAACTGTCACTGTCTCTAGAACCTTGGAGAAGGACCTTGTGACTCTTGCAACTTTCCTGTATACTTCCAGTAAGTTTTGTTCATTCCCAGACTCGGAAGTGTCACTCTGGGAGGGAATGTTTCAATTCTGAGGAGCCAGCCACAGACTTTGAGGCACTGGCTGTTTCTGGGAAACCCAGTGTAGAACATGGAACCAGATCAAATAGGTGTCAGACCTAAAGGATGCTATGCTGACCTGTTGTTCACCCCCAGACTCATTATCATCTCATTGTAATACACTAGCCTAGTAAAATTTCTGCCTGATGGTGTCATCTTGGTCCAGCCTCCTCCCAAACAGATTTGGAGGACCAGTTTGCAGGAGCCTTAAAGGAGAGGAAGTGCTACTCCTATAAGGACCTGGCTCCCTCGTGAAAAGTTCAAGGAAAATACCTTTGTGTGTTTTCTAAACTCCTGCCTCTCCTGACCCTTAAAAGACCCTCATCCTTTACATGAATGGAAGGCTGTTTCACTGACTACCGCTCCTTCCTCTGGGCAAAAATAAACCTTCCTTCGCAACTGAATTTAACATCAGCTTTGTTATTGTGTCCAGAATGCCTTGGAGGAGAAAGAACCTAGTTTAACTTCTACTCCTTTGGTTTATTCCTTTGAGACATAACATTTTAGAACCAGTTATGATGTGACCTGCTGTACTAAAATGTTCAGTGTTCTTTGACAATGAGTTCATATTGCTAGTGGGGAATGAGTTTAGCTTCTCTTCTTTGTGCTATTGATAATGGCTAGAATGTGTTCTTTGTAAAAGTCTCGCAAGTTGGAGATTAGCGGTTTATATCAGTTTAAAATTCGTGGAAGACCTAAAAGCCCGTGAAGGTTGTTAGCCCTCACATAGAAATTAAATATGATCTCAAGGAATTATAATTCCTTCTTCAAATAGAAAAAAGTGATAAAGCAACTAGGAGAAGGGGAAAGAGAAAAACAAGACAGACAGACAGTAGGGAAGAAAGAAGGATGCGAGCTGCGGAATGTACATTTTTTCAAGAGTTCATGGAATCCTCTTCAGTGTGGTTGTGTCCTAAGACATGCAGCAAAAGCTGGGTGGTGGTGGCGCATGCCTTTAATCCCAGCACTCAGGAGGCAGAGGCAGGAGGATCTCTGGGAGTTCAAGGCCAGCCTGGTTTACAAGAGCTAGTTTCGGGAAGGGCACCAAAGCTACAGAGAAATCCTGTCTCGAAAAACCAAAAAAAAAAAAAAAAAAAAAAAGGACATGTAGCAAGTCTGAACAATTATAAAACATTAAATATTTGCTTACATCTCTATGCACAGCTTTGAAATGGATGGACAAGGTATAGCAAGAGAGGCAACACAAATGCATGAAGATTAAACAATTTGTGCACTGTACACAGTGTGTGTGTGTGTGTGTGCGCATGTGCGCGTCCTCATGTGTGAGTGCACATGCTCACCAGCCACAGTGAACATGGGATTGCAGAAGACAGCCTCATTTGTCAGTCCTTGTTTGAGACTTTGTCTCATGGCTGCTTCATATATGGAACTAGCTGATCCTTCTG